CTTGGTCAGAAACATTGACTCGAGAAACCAAGGCGAAGTTCGAGAGCCGTGTTCCTGGATGATGTAGCAGCCAAGCACGCGGACGAACCCCAGGAAACGTGACACCGTGATGTAATCTGAAGCGGTTCGCGTCGCCTGCCTCACGCGTCTCTAGCTTTCTCCACACGTACACCCGCCATCCGTCGCGACCCCACGAATCACCCAATGGCGCCAAAAAGTACCCAATCGTCGTCGCAGCCCAAGTCGTCGCAAAAGGGCACGCAACAGACCATCTCCAGTTTCTTCGCGAAGAAACCGTCGCAAACGCCCAAACCCGCAGCCAAACCTGCTCCTAAGGCGCCTTCTCCACCCGTAGCCAATGTCGCACCCCAAGAGGAAGACGACGACGAAGATGAGCTTCCAGTCTCGCAGTCAATTCCTGTGCGCAAGCGCGCCATAGACGAAGATGACGCAGCTCACGATTCCGGTCGCTCGTCCCCCTCAAAGCGCGTTAGATTCGAAAAAGGCGACTCGCCCCGACAGACGCCTGCACCAAAGCCCGCAAGAACCGGCGACAGGACATCCAAGTTTCTATTCTCTTCGTCACCTGTTCCACGGGAAGAGCACCCTGAAGAAGACGTGGATGCCGCGGCTTCGCAGAAGCAGAGGGAAAGACTACACGAGAAGTTTGTCAAGAAGCTCGGTCGACCAGACAGCTTTGCTGAACTGAGGAGGCGCAACAAGATCATATCTGAGGACAACCCCAACGCCAATGGCGAGGAGGGCGACGGCGACGAGGAAGAAGAGGATGAGCCACCCCAGAAGCCCGCCAAGGGAAAGAAGGGCGCTGCGACGAAGAAGGCAAACAAGCTGACGCCCATGGAAATACAATACCTGGACATAAAGCGAAAGCATCTGGATACCGTCATCGTTATGGAGGTTGGGTACAAGTACAAGTTCTTTGGCGAGGATGCAAGAACGGCATCGAAAGAGCTGGGCATCGTCTGCATACCAGGTAGGAACTCCAGGCTGAACTTAATGTGATACGTAGCTAACTTGGGATACCAATATTTAGGAAAATTCAGATACGACGAGCACCCTTCCGAAGCCCACCTCGACCGATTCGCGTCCGCCAGCTTCCCAACGCATCGACTGCAAGTCCACGTCAAACGTCTCGTACAAGCAAACCACAAAGTTGGAGTGGTGAGGCAACTGGAGACGGCCGCGCTCAAAGCGGCCGGTACCAACAGGAACGCTCCATTCGTGAGGAAGCTCACCAATCTCTACACCAAAGGCACATACGTGGACGATGTTGAGGGCTTGGAGGCGCCTACCGAGGGCTCAGGCGCAAGCGTACAGTCGACCGGATATCTGCTTTGCATCACCGAGAGCAATGCAAAAGGCTGGGGTACTGACGAGAAAGTGCAAGTTGGGCTGGTAGCCGTCCAGCCTGCGACTGGCGACATCATCTACGATGACTTCGAAGATGGCTTCATGCGTAGCGAGATCGAGACACGGCTGCTTCACATCGCGCCGGCAGAGTTTCTCGTAGTCGGCGACCTCTCCAAGGCTACAGACAAGCTGATACAACATCTGTCAGCTAGCAAAACCAACGTCTTCGGGGACAGATCGCGCGTGGAAAGGGTAGAAAAGCCGAAGACGATGGCTGCACAAGCCTACAGCCACATCTCGAATTTCTACGCGGGCAAGATGAAGTCCAGCCAGGAAGCAGACTCGGAAAAGCAGGGCGCTATTCTGGACAAGGTACATCAGTTGTCGGAGCATGTAACCATCTGCCTCTCAGCAATGATCACGTATCTCAGCGAGTACGGCCTGGAACACGTCTTCGATCTCACAAAGTACTTCCAGCCTTTCAGTGCCAGGTCTTACATGCTGCTGAACGGAAACACACTCTCTAGTTTGGAAATCTACCAGAACCAAACGGATTACACTGCGAAGGGCAGCTTGTTCTGGACCATGAACAGAACAAAGACCCGTTTTGGGCAACGGTTGCTGAGAAAGTGGGTTGGCCGACCCCTCATAGACAAGGAGAGATTAGAAGAGCGCATAGCAGCGGTGGAAGAGCTCAAGGAGGGCGAGAACACAATCCCTGTCGACAAGCTGAAGTTCGTGCTCGGGAAGATCAGGACCGATCTCGAGAAAGTGCTCATCCGCATCTACTACAAGAAGTGTACAAGGCCAGAACTGTTGGCAGCTTTGCAAAGTCTGCAGGAGATTTCGAGCCAATACTTGTCGGCGAAGACACCCGAAAAGAGTGGTTTCTCCTCGTCGTTACTGAGTGAAGCTGTTTCGAATGTTCCGAAGATCTACGATGACTTGAACAGCTTTCTGGAGAGGATCAACGCCAAAGCCGCAAAAGATGACGACAAGTACTCGTTCTTTCGTGAAGAACATGAGGCCGAAGATATCAACGATCTGAAATTGAGCATTGCCTCTGTAGAAGACGATCTCAACACGCACCGAAAAGACGCAGCTGCTAAGCTGGGGAAGAGCAAAGTAGACTTCGTTACTGTAGCTGGCATTGAGTACTTGATCGAGGTCAAGAGGAAGGCACCCGAAGAGAAGAAAGTACCTGCCTCGTGGCAGCAGATCTCAGCTACCAAGACTACACTGCGTTTCCACACGCCAGAAGTCAAGCGCATGCTACAAGAGCGAGATCAGTACAAGGAGTCGCTGGCGGCGGCATGCGACGAAGCTTACATGGGCTTGCTAGAGGAAATCTCGTCCAAGTATCAACAACTGCGGGACTGTGTGGCTTCCCTAGCCACACTCGACGCCCTCCTCTCACTGGCTACCTTGGCAAACCAGCCAGGTTACGTCAAGCCGACCTTCACAGACGACATCGAGCTCAACATCACTGGTGGTCGGCATCCCATGGTTGAGCAACTGCTACTCGAAAACTACGTCCCCAACGACCTCACCCTTTCACACGATTCTACCCGTGCTCTACTAATCACAGGCCCCAACATGGGCGGAAAATCCTCGTATGTGCGATCTGCAGCTCTAATTGCCATCATGGGCCAAATTGGCTCCTACGTCCCCGCAACGGAAGCGCGACTAGGCATGCTAGACGCGGTCTTCACCCGCATGGGCGCTTTTGACAACATGCTCAAAGGCGAATCCACATTCATGGTCGAACTGAACGAAACCTCTGACATCCTCAAATCCGCAACGCCGCGATCCCTCATCATCCTCGATGAACTGGGTCGCGGTACCTCAACTTTTGACGGTGTCGCCATCGCAGAAGCAGTACTTGACTATGTCATCCGGGACCTACAGTCACTCACGCTGTTCATCACACATTACCAGCATCTGGCCAAACTGTCAGGCCGCTTCCCCAACGGTGAGCTGAAGAACGTCCACATGCGCTTTGAAGAGCAGAACGGCGGGAAGGAAGTCGTGTTCTTGTACGAAGCTACGGAGGGTATTAGCCACCGGTCTTACGGGCTGAACGTTGCGCGGTTGGCGAGGGTACCTGAGAAGGTCATCGATGTAGCGGAGGTGAAGAGCGCTGAGCTGGAGGAGAGCATGGGGGCTTGTAAATTGGGGAACTTGTAAGTCGTATCCTAGGCAGAGGATGCTGAGAATGAGTGCTAACATTAACTAGGTCGCGCATGATGAAGGGTTTGTTGACTGAGGGCTCGGAAGCAAGTCTTGATAGACTTGTTGAGGGTATTGAGCAGCTGTAAAATATAGATGTGTTGTGTTATATGGAGATGCGACTGGCCATCGTTCACGGGAAAAGGTGGAAGCATCAGGCGTTTGATGACGGTGCATACGGGTAGTAGATCTGCGTGTATCAACAACGCATCGCTGCGTCGCCAGTTGGGGTCTGCCGAAATGTTCAAACCGCGCAAACGAATCACATCACCGTCGATAAGATCAAATCACTTTCTTGCTTGTGGTGTATTGTCATTGTTTCATTTCATGACTGTCATATCCATATCGCTGTGATCGTAGTCAATGGCCAGCGGATCTCCTGTCCTCCCGGCTCATGGTATACCCACCATCACGCCTTGTCCTAGCTCAGCAGCTTAACCGAGACGAGTCTCCTTGTCCTTGATGGGCATATCGGAGCCAGTGGTAGACTTGTACTGGCCACGGATGAAGTCGCTGATCTGTTCGTCCTTGGCTTGCTCGACGGCGGACTCGTTGTCCTGAGCACCCTGGCCCATGAACTTCTCTTGGACGAAGTCGACACCTAATATAGACAGTTAGTACGTGTCCAACAGTTATAGCACGGCATGGTAGACGTGGGTGGGGGTGGAGGACGACATACCCTTGTCGAGGTAGTCCTCGTTCTTCTCGCTCTCCTTGCCGCCGCCAGCAGCGGAGTTGAGCTTGTCACCAATGCCACCGAGGAAGCCACCGGAGCCGGAGGACTTCTGCTCAGAGCCTTGGCCTTGGACGACCTGCTCGTTGACGGACTGGCCTTGGTTGTTACCACCGCCAGCGAGCTTGTTGACGAAATCCATGATGTTTGTTTGTTTGTTGTAATTGGAGGTAGGTAAGGTAAGTAAAGGGTCAAAGCAGTAAAGGTAAAAGTAGTTGTGTGAGGTTGTGATGAGTGATAAGCCGAGTGTACTGGAGGAGAGAGAGAGCTATTTAAGCAGCTGATTGCAAGGCAGGGATGGTTGATCTTGGAAACGGGAGCACCGATGGGTCAATGGGGTCAATCAAGATCTAGTCCCTGGTGACAGGAGCCTTGGTATTGGAGCTAAGCGCGTTTGATAGGTGCGTGTCGCAGCGTGCAAGGAGGCTACGGGCGACGTACCTGATGCGATGCTGGTTCTTGGTCGGCACTGCCCCGCCCAAATGCGCGCCGACGTCATCAGACACCCCGCCATCGCGGAACCTGAAACTAGTCCCTTTGCGAGGCCAAGCTCCGCTATCGCGTCTTGCACGTGCGAGCAACCTTGCGACTGTGACCTTGGAATTTGTTTTGCTTCTTTGAGGGGTTTTGTTCGGATCGACGCGTCTGTGCTGTTGTCGTCATCGCCATGATACCTATCACGATTATCACGGGCTTCTTGGGCTCGGGGAAAACAAGTATGTAGTAATTTTCTGCCGCTTTCTCTTCCGCAACTAGTAGCACAGGACCAGCACGTCGCATTGCGTGTGTATAAGCTGTCAAGAACGTGTAAATCATATCGAGAAGAGTTGTAATCTTGCTAACAACCTCGCAGCGCTCATCCTGAACCTAATCCCCCAACTACCCAAAACCTACAAACTCGCGCTCCTCAAGAACGAATATGGCGACATCAAAGTCGACACAGCGCTTGCCTCCTCAGCCGCTATATCAGGCGTGCAAGAATTGCTCAATGGATGCATATGCTGCAACCTCGTCGGGCAACTCTCCGACGCCCTCGAAACGCTCGCCAACGACGTAAACCCCGATCGCATAGTCATCGAGACCTCCGGCTCTGCCTTCCCTGCAACCCTCGCCATGGAAGTAAACCGACTGAGCAGAGAAACGGGCAAATACGTTCTAGACGGCGTAATGAGTGTGATTGACGTGGAGAATTGGAAGGGCTACGAAGACACGAGCTACACGGCGAAGATGCAGGCACGCTACACCGATCTCATTGTTCTTAACAAGCACGAGCTTGTTAGCGAGAGACGGTTGGAGGATGTTGAGGACGCAGTGTTGGCGCTGGAGGTGGAGCCGCAAATACCTAGGACAAAGAGCAGGAAGGGGTGGGTGGATAAGGATATTGTGTTTGGACTGGATGCGAGGCTGGCAGGGGTCACTGAGGAGAACGGAAGCGCGCACGCACATGAACACGACCATGACCATTCCAGCGAAGTCGAGGTCCTCACAGTCACACTGAAGAGTCAGGATGGTAACAGTAGTGTCGACACTGCGAAACTCGCCAAACTCCTCGAAGACCCCACCAAAGACGAGGTGTACCGGATAAAAGGCATTTTGTATTCTTCTACACCACCGAAATCATCGGACGCTGATGCGGACGCGCACCAGAAAGTACCGGAGGGCTGGGCAAGATATATTCTGAACTGGTCATTCGGGCGCTGGACGTTTACTCCAGTTCCGCTACCAGCTGGCGAGAGCTCTGGTGAAGAAGAGCCGGTTCTGAGGTTGACGGTTATTACGGCGAGGTATGAGTCGACTAAGTGGAAGAAGCAGATTGAGTCGTGTGGGTTGATTGCGTTGGAGGGTGATGTGGAGGGTTCGTTGACGGTTGAGAAGATAGGGTAGATGGGGAGTGTTGCCGTTTGTGATATACCCGATTCAACGATTAGACTTGTAGAGTAAAATGAAACAACCAAGATACCTTTTTTCGTGTCCAGTATTCTGGTATTCTTCCTAATGGATGCTTGCGCGATTGGTGGCTAGCGTGGTGGGGCGCTAATGCCAGACGTCCTCAGCTCCTGCCTCATGTCACTTCCTTACCGAAGACATGACACCTCCGGTACACATCACGACGCCTTCACACGATGTGAACCTACTACGTATGATCTTTCATCTCCATCTGGTTTACTGTATTGCATCTGTCTGCTCTAGTGGGCTGCCTTATCGATCTGCCTGACCCTCAAACCTCAGACGTAGGCTCTTTCCGCACTCTCAGCGACGGCTTCGAACATCTTTACCCCATGGTAGTCAATGTACTGCACAATGACCGTCCTGTTGGCTAGTTGCTATTGCGATGTTTCCTTTTCAAAGCCTTGTTCTTTTGAGACTTCGACGGTGATCCCGAGAGCGTCTTGTGCAGCTCTTTTGCTGTCTTGAGATGTTCGAGGAAGTCCGCATGGTTTTGTACGAGACCAAGAAACTCATCAGACTGATGTTGTTCCCAGAACTTCTGCTCATGCGCAATGACAGCTGCTACAATGAGCTGCTGCAGCAAACCCCCCTCGTCTTTGCAGATCTTGTCGGCACCGTACATCCAATCCACAAAGCCTTTCATCGATGCCGGTCCGAAACGACCTCGAGAGATGAGCTGCTCGAAAAGCTTGGTGTAGGCCGCGTTGATCAGACCCCGGTATTTTAGGAACTCGCCGAACTTGATCACCTCCAAATGAAACTGCACCGACTTCATGTGCTCAGTAAAGTCCTTGTATGGCGCATCAGGCTTGTTCTCCGCATGGGCGATGTTCGATACTTCGGTTTCGACGTGTCGCTGGTACGTTCCGAGGTAGAGGTAGTTGACGAACCGGTCCACGATGATGGGAGAGAAAGCAGGAAAAGGTACATCGCACGGCCGGTCTGGAGTCTGATTGTTAAATGTAAGCTTGCTGTCACATGACAGTACCTCAACCGGAATATACATACACCTTGGAAGAGACATTGCAGCATCCAGTCTGCACTTGGACCGCCGAGCGCCCAAGCCGAATGTATGGGGAACAAGATACCGTTTGAATCGAGGAGAATATCGCAACCAAGCTTGGAGTCGAGGATGGTGCCGGCGTGCCTGTCAAGTTAGCGATAACTCTTGTTCTTGTAGTTGAACATACTCCACGCGCTCAGAATCCGCTGTCGGTGGTTTCAAGTGCTCATTCTTGTCGATGATGTGCAGCAAGTTCTTGAGCGACATCCAGCTCGGAGCTGAAGGCGCCTGCGCTGTTCCAGGTGACATTGCGTCTGTGATCTGATGATGGATTTCAGTGTTGACGCGCTTTCTGTCGCAAGGAGATGCAAAGAAAGAGGAACAAACGGCCGTAGTGGGGCTAGGCGGTCGAACACCTAGCAACGTGCCAAGACGTTCGGCTAGCAGTGAGAGTGAAGTGAACACATTCACCTCACACCACCTAAAAGCGCAAAAAAAGAGAAACCAAAAAGAAAGAAGTATTAGGCAGGGTCGAACTCACAGGAGCAAAAAAACGAGACCCACGATCGCGATGCAGTAAAGGTAACACACCATTTTCAAGTAATCAGAACCAACCCTATGATTCTTGTTATAGTCTCGGTCCTGAGCACACGCTCTGTCACAGCAAACTTGACGAACCTTGACTATCCTACGATGGGAACCGTGTGTCTCGATGGAGAATTCTGCAATTGGATCGTATATAATCAAATACTGGGGGCCATGGCTACGCGGTGGAGTCCAGACTCTTCTCCTTCACTTATGACGTATCTTGGCGCACGCTCTCGCTCCTTCACCTCTCAGTATCTCCTCACCCTTGATTCTTTATCTCTTGGCGGTTTCGTTTGCGCTATTGCATTTCCCACAATACGTCCAAATATTGTCTTCTGGATTCGTCTCACAGTACCACACCAAGAATTTCGCAACACCCGTACAGGCCGACGAAATGGCGTCTGATAGCAGCAATCGCGATACGTCTGACTTCGACGACGAGTTCGGAGCAGTAGAGTTGGCGCCATCCCACATGTCCGATATCGAGGTATTTTGTCGGTTACTTGGTCACTCGACAGCAACAGTGAGGCAGATGAAGAAGAACTTCTTCCCCAAATCAAGAACCAGGTACATTCTTCTCACGGCAACGTCAATTAGACAGTATGTTTACCTTTGACAGTGGTACACCCGAGCTGTGGGATAATAGACGCGGAGTCGATGTCGTCCTTACAGACTCCAAAGGCGCAGAATGGGGCGTACACAAGTCGGTTATCTGCACAGGATCCAGGCCGGTGGGCGACTATCTATACAATACCGACGTAAGTGACTCACGCCATACACATTATCATCCGAAAGCTACTGACATAAGCATGCAGAGGAACAACTTTGTCTACACAGAAGATGGGAAGATCAGGCTCGTAGTCGAAGGTTTTGAACCATTCGCCATCGACGCTTTCGTTCAATCTGACTACTTCGGGAGCTACGTGCTCAGCAAAGCCATGGCACTCAGCCGAGCGCGGAAGGTTCCAGGCACACCGCTCGCGATAGTAGGCGGCGAGATCGCCCCCGGCCTTCAACTTCTTCATCACCTAGAAGTCCTTCGACTCGGTGATCGTCTTCAGCATGCAGTCGGAACGGAAGCGTTAGGGTACATTCAGCTACTCTTGGGCCGTAAGACAATCGGATTGGTCGACTGGTTGACATTCATGCGTGCGGTATTCCATGGCCAGATAGGGGATACGACACTGGGCCAGCGACTACGTATGGTTGTGGCAGCATATGCTGCGTACCATGACAGTATCTGGTTGGGACATGAAGAGTACCGTAAGCTCTTCCGAGGTGCGCACAGCGACTTCGCAGGACTATGCACTGAGGTGCGCCATGCTCAGGCTGGACTTGTCATTGATTCAGCAGCTTCCTACGTCACAGCTTCTCAGCACATGGGACGTATGGCAATTTCTTCACTCTCTGGCGAAATTTCCTTGGAATTTGCCATCTCTGCACATGCTCATAGTGCAGCTGTATCCAGTGCCCTGAGCATCGAGCATGCTGCACCGCCACAAGCACCGCCACAAGTGCAGCCACCTGTCCAGTCGCAAGTGCAACAAGCACAACCACCTGTACAGCCATCTACTAGAAGTCGGGACGATAGGCTAAGAGTGCCTCTTATCCAGAGCATGCTGGACGAACAGAAGGGCATCAAAGGACCACATGCACGATAGGCTGCGACAGATACCTGGTGTTATCGGAGGAGCTAGCTACAGCTTGTATAGGGGTCTACCGACTACGGTCATGGTTCTTGAAGGCGTCGGTACCAGCTCGTGGATGTTTGCCGCATACGAGGTATTTGGCATGATAGTATTGAAGGGTACAAAAGACGACGTATTCCCATACCCTATTGATAAGTCGACCTTTAATGGCCAGTTTCTAGTGGAGACCCTCCTGGCACAAGCATGCAGAGCACATCTGGATATTGATAAGTGTATGTAGCCGCGAAGGCCAGGATGAAAAAGCCCATGTGAACCATACCTAATGAACGATTTTGCAAGTCATCCCATGTTTATATCACATTTGCACATTCTTATATCACGTCCGACTTCTTATGCGATGGATGATACAAGGTAAGACATATTGCATTATATGTACAGTCATTACATGCCCGATTGTTGGACTTTTCCCAAGCTCCAAGGGTGATGATGAGCTTCCAAACTCCTCTTCCAGTCATTAACTACATAAATATCCATCTCGCAGTAAACCATGATGTCGATCTACAACATACCAAGAGCGAGTCCAAGGGCACCAATACCCATGGCGGCGCCGGCAGTCTTCATAGCAGCAGGGTTGCTAGTCTCGGCAGGGACAGTGTTGGTGTCGGTGTCTGTCTCGGTGGTGGTGGCAACGAGACCGTCGCTACCGGTGGTGACGATGACGGCTACGGAAGTGGTCTGGATGACGGAGGTGACGGAAACGGTGTTGGTGTCAGTGACAGTGTTGGTGTCGACGGCCGTTGTTTGGACTGCGCCAGCGCCTCCTCCGACTACGGTGGTGGTCTGGTATGCGCAGTCGGTGAGGAGACGGTACTGGTCGCTGCCGTCGTCGTTGTCGTTGCCGTTGTACTGCCTGACGCAGGCCTCGCACTGTGGGATCAACTGGTTTGCGTTGTTGGCTGTGCAGATGCACTGGAGGACGGCAGATGAGTCGTCATCTATAGCTTTGTTAGATTCTTGTTGTTCGGTTTTAAGTGAGATACTTACTGCTGTCGTTCTTGCAACCGTTGGTGATGGAACCGACTTGTGCGCAAACATCAGTGCACTCCGCGGGGATGTTGTCGAAGTCGAAGTCAGTGTCCTGAGCAGCAGCGAAGGCCGCAAGGGCGGAGATGATGGTGAGCTTTGAGAAGAGCATATTGGTTGATTGATTGATCGATGTTCGACTTGTTGAGAGTGAGTGTAGTGGTTTTGAATCGAGTGGAGATGATGAGAAGGCTGATTGTTGTGATGATGGGCTTTCAACATGTCGAGCATGGCGACTCTTATACCAAATGTGCTCCTCCTTCCATCGCCCATCGGACGGTCTCCGCCCTGGCTTCTGCAGAGGAATCAGGTACCATGGTATTACCAGAGCCGTCGTACCCGAGTTCGCTCATGCACTTGATGAGATGGCATGCACCGTCGACCTCTGGCATTGGCTTTGCTGTTTGCTAGACGTTGTAATAGCGCCCCGATGGAAAGGGCCGAATGCGAAGTGACATCACACTTATCATTTGCATGTCGTTCTGGTCGAACCTGGAGGCCAGGCACAGTGTGTCTGGATGCCGCCAAGCGATCGAAGCATATGAAGGTTTCGCGGAGCCACGCGATGGACATGGAGACAGCGCAGGCCGACGTCATTAGTGCTTGGCACGGCGAATGTGGATCCACCCGAGCAACCGAGCGATCACGGCCGATCATCCGGAAAGCTTGTCGGTTGCTCCAGAACGCGCCGACTTTGCGGAGGAAAAACTGGAGAACGTAGGCTTAGGCCGCATGAAACGTTGTTAGTCCGGCTGTACGGCAAACATCGTCAGTCGGCGGCGAACTTCTTTCTGGTAGCTGTGACCCCTGTATGACGCAAACATGCAAATACTTATGCTTTTGAAGTCAGTATGTCATGGCTTGTACCAAAGCTTCAGATCACTTGGTGTGTCTGAGTATCCCTGTCAAACGGCTTGTTCAGGAACGCAGAGCCTCCCATTATCGAATCTGGTATCTCGTTGACATCGAAGCATCAATGCGTAGCCTAGCATTAGAATTAGAATTTGTTGATAGTGCTTCAACGGAAAGACCGGAGTGGCCATCGAATTGTTTGGCTGTCAATGCATGGAGCATCCTGAAGTACGATCTGCCTGGTATCATCTTGGTAAAGCTACGCAGGCCAAGAATGGCTGAACCCACTCGTGATAGGCTGTCGACTAGCATCTTGCCGAGAAAGCGTCTTGTACAACAAGCGTGATACATGGTCCGTTGCATGAAGCTTGAGGGTAACGGATCGTGTCGGCTCGAACGGAAGACTGAGTAGTCTATCAGTGATTATGATACCTAAGCTTTGTTTATGAGTTTCATCAACAACAGATAGTGCCCAGTATCGGCAACTTTGCCTATGCTATACTGCCGTTGACTGCCATAACTGGCTAACATCACGTTGTTTCCTCGGAGGCGAAGTTCCCACTGCGCATAGCTTTACAGCGTCGTCTTGGCAACCCGCGCTACCACAGTTTCTGGCCGTCATTAGCTGCATACGCTAGGGGCATGGCAGGAACATACCGTTGTTCTAACTGGCATGACCGGCGACATGGCAAACCAGTAGGGCGGCTCTATGATAGCCACTGCGGGTAGAATATAGCGCGAGGTTAGACAATGCCGTCAGAGCCGTGTGTAGGTTCGCTGTTGCCGTTGCCGCCTCCAATAGCGTAAAGATGGAAAGTCGAGGCTCTGAGCCCGTTGCTGTGCTGATCTCAGCAGCCTTCGCCACGTACGAGATAGTCGACCGCTGCTAAATGACGAACAGTGGACGCTGTCTAGGAGCTTACAGTCGTCCATTTGGAATGTGTTCCAGTAACCCAGAAGAGTGCGCATGCGATACGATGTCGAGGTAACTTGGATTGACAGCAAGCCGCTTCTCAAAGTACCGGTCGGGAACGTAGGCTAAGTATTTTCGTAGAAATGAAGAGAAAATGACGTGTCGGCGACTACGTCCATTGAACATAATTGCGGAAGCTGACCAGAACTGGGCACATGAATGCCATCGATACAGTTTCTGCGGAGGTGTTAATGTGTTCTTGTGGGCTCGCGCTCGATTTTGAAGTCTTTTCGTGAGGGACTTTGGGTGTGTACGTTGGTGGGTTGGTAAGTCGATAACGGTGGTTTGCCAGGGTTCGTCGAGGCGTCAATGTGTGTCCATTCACCACGGAAGATACTGTACCTTTTGCATATGGCTACTTGTAATTATATTTCTACGTGCGCGTTAGCGTGACTCCGATCAAATAGCTGCACCTATGCGTTGCTTACCTGTATCATGCTCGACTGTTCGATCTCCGTTGCATCTCTCCTCCAAAAGGGAGCAGGTTCACCTGCGCATCGATAGGGACTGGATCTTCGGACATCTCGTAGCACAATACAGCGCGGGTAAGGCGCTCATGCCTCGTGATGACAGTCGTTGACTTCGCGGGAAGTTGCTGAGACGTGGCTATCGTTTTGGGTGGTTGTGGGTGTTGCTTGAGGTTCAGGTGAGTGCAACAGCGTCCAGGTGGTCTGATCTCGAACGGGAATAGCAGATCAGCACTGTCGTTTTCCCCGGCCGCTCCTTACTTAATCTGGAGGGGTAACTACATCTGCTCACTCATCACAGGCCGAAGCACGTCTCTCAACTGATAGACTTTCATTTACAGTGGCAGTAAAATGATAAAAGAATGTGTTGTATCTACCACCAGACTCACACACAACCCCAGATGCTCCAAACCAATCGTTACACATTTGTGTATCATACCCGGGTATCATTGCCACTCAAAGACTGCACACACTACTACTAGGGCATGTTCCAAACAGACACGGTGAGAGACATGCCTGTCTTTTTTCTAACTCATACCAACATGATCCTCAAAAGGACAGATGTGATGTAAAACCTTACAACAGCACGTACCCTCTACCTAGCCTGCACGGCCGGAAAATAGCGGGGTCCGGAGTACCCGTAGAACTGGACGCTCTCAATGTCGATGTTGCCATCATGTTTCGGGCTCCAGAACTTGAGTAGGACGTGTCTTCCCGAACTGGAGAATGCGTTAGTAAACCGATGGCTCCCTAGGGTGACCGGACCGAACTTACATTGCAGGGTGAAATTTGATTGTGATCTTATTCTTGTTCTTCGCAATGAAGAAGCGCGCATGTGGGGGTATGAGTGGCTCGTCATGGGTTCGTTCGGAAGGTTCTATGCGGCTGGGCGCAGCTACACGAGACGCTCGGATGGGCTCCAGATAGCGCTCTCTCCGCTCCCGCCATTCGCTGTATGTGCTGTAGTCGAGGGCCGGCGCGCGACGCAGCGGACCCAGGCGGGGAATGACTTCATCGTCATCGTCATCGCTGTCTGGACGCCAACGGCTTTCTCTTCGAAGGCGGTCGGCCATGATGGCAGCACTGGGTACTTCTTCGTTGGAGTCCGAGTCCTCATCCTCGCTGGCAGCAGTAGTAACTGTAAAAGGCGGTGGGGTAGGTGCAGAAATGCCAGCGGGACCGCTGTAAGAGTCATCCGCTGCGTGATCACAATTGTCACCCTCTGCTTCGTCTTCGTGTTCTACCATCTGGCGCATTATCCGCCGACGTTCAGAGTCTGAGCGCAAAGACGATATCCAGTTCGCAGATTCGGCATTCAGCCTTTCACTGCGGAGACGAAGATTCTCGATGCGCTCCTCCATGTCCTCGCGAGGGCCCTGATTTGAGTATTGCCACACCGAAGGATCTTCAAGAGCCTCTCGCAACGACATGTGTTCGTTGGCCTCGTTTGGGGAACTAGGGGTCGGAGACATCAGTGGCGATGGTGTGTCGTAGCGGAGATTGTAGGCTGAGGTGCCGGACAGGAGTTCATCTGCAGACATGGATACGAATACAAGACCTTCTTGAACGCTGGTGTCAGGTTAGCAATGATCAAAGACGAAGCGGAGACACATACGGAGCCGTAAATCCACGGTCCGGTGCTCGAATGACGATCTTCTCCAAGGCGAAGGGGGCTTCTCCGATGTGTTTCAAGAGAAGATTGCACTGGGAGCTCTCGCTGCAGTATACACTTTTGTCGTTCCTCAAGACATTCTGAACCCTGTATAGCCCAGGTGGATTGTCTCTGCGGTGCTCACCGCCGTCACAGCTTATGATCTCCATACGCAGACGCCCGGGCACTACCTGACCCCTGTGGCCGTACTTGAAGCACATGTACTCCGTAGCAGCGCTACTGTCATGTTCCAACTTCCTCCGCTTATGTCGGCGCTCGCTGTTGAGTTGTACGATGGGGCTACGAGAGCGGGGCTGTGTATTCGAGATAGTAAAGGGATTGCTTGTCGGTAGGTCACTCAGTGAGTCAAGAACATCGTTGGTGGCGTCCATATCGGCCAAGCGCTGTTCTCTCGTGCGGGCCTGAGAGCGGCGGAGGTAGCTTTCGCTCGGTACGGCGCGAGGTCGGTTGGGGTTTGCAGTGGGCGGCCTTCGGGCCAGATTGTCCGCAGCGTCGCTGTCACGTGGGGGACCAAATAGGCGGTGCAGCGGGCCTCTTCTGGTTGACGTGCGAGTGCGCACGCGGCGGGCAGGGTCTCTGGGGGATGACGTCGCATCGTAAGCGGCGGGCGTGGGCTCGGCTAGGGAGCGCAGCGCATTTCTGGACGCGCTCGTAGAGGCAGAGCGAGAGACGGTCGGCGGCGAGGTCGAGGCATGGGGAAAGTCAAAGCTGCCCGTCGTGAAGGCCAGTGGGAAGGGCGCAGGCGGTGGGGACGGAGAGGAGGGTGGTCTGGGCATGGGTGACGTCGGCGCTCGCTCCCATTGAGGAGACGAGGTATGGCGAGTAGTTAGGCTCACACGCAGAGGAGAGACTAGTAGTTTACGGTGGGAGGGTAGGAGACGGCACTTGTCGAGGCTGAGGCGACGAACAAGCAACGCATCTTCTAGTCGGTCCCGTGTGGTTGGCACGCGGGGTGCGCACGGGCCACCGCAGAGCCGCACAGGCAGGCTACGAGGGTGCGAGGTAATGCCGTCACCGCTAGCTGCCTTTACTCGGCCCTCTGCAAGACGCCCGTCCAGCTTGAATTAGCCCATACGCAGCCAGCGTCTTGCGCCGGTCCACCAACTATCTGACTGCCCTGCGTGATCGCGCAATCAACATCTCGCATACGCGTCTCTTAACCTCCATATACATACCCGCGCGACGACAAACACCATGGCTGATCTCACCGAGCCGTCCCCGGTACCTCCGGTGACCAATGGCGCGTTGCCTGCTGCATTGCCTGCCGAGGACGCAGCTGGCGAGACAGTCGCCGCCATCGCTGAGGCCGACAAGATATCTGCAGGTAAGCGCGACGCAATGGCAGTCGCAGCAGGGCTAACTTCCGCGCCCAGATGAAATCGCCCTCTACGACCGCCAGATCCGCCTATGGGGCGTCGCGGCGCAAGAGAAGATCCGCACTGCCAACATCCTGCTCGTCTCCATCAAAGCCCTCGCCAACGAGGTCGCCAAGAACCTTGTCCTCGCCGGCATAGGCTCCATCACCCTCGCAGACCACGAAGTCGTGACCGAAGATGATCTGGGTGCGCAATTCTTGATCAGCGACGCCGATGTAGGCAAGAACCGCGCAGAGGCAGCATTGCCCCAGGTGCAGAAGCTCAACCCGCGCGTCACCGTCAAGACCCTCACCACCGACATCCGCAACGAGCAAGATCCCAACTTCTACGCCGCCTACGACATCATCATATGCACCGACATGGACTTCCTCTCCACCTCCGCCCTCAATGCCGGTGCGCGCATAGCACGGAAACCCTTCTACGCGGGCGCATCGCACGGCATGTACGGCTACATTTTCGCTGACCTGGTCGAGCACAACTTCGTTATCGAGCGCGAGAAGAGCAATCGCGACACGCAGGTTGGCGCTGAGAGCACAACGAGGAGCATCAAGAGCGTACAGGTCAAGAAGGAGAACGGGAAGGTGGTTGAGCTGGTCAACAAGCAGGAGCTCTACAGCCCGTTGATGCTGGTCAAGGACAGTCCACTCCCTGCGGATATTGCAAACAATGCCAGGAGGCTGAAGAGAGTCCATCCCCTACTCACCTGTGTACGCGCATTGTGGGAGTACCAGCGCATGGGCCATGGCATCTACCCTTCGCATACACCAACAGATCTTCAGACCTACACCACCATTGCGAACCTCAAGCACAAGGAGCTGCTTCTTCCTGCCGAGTCTCTCAAAGCCGAAGTCCTCCGCAGCTTCCTTCAGAATCTGGGTAGCGAACTGGCACCCGTCACGGCTTTCCTGGGTGGCCAGCTGGCTCAGGATGTCATCAACGTGCTGGGACAACGTGAACAGCCCATCCAGAACCTTATGCTATTCGACGGCGAGGACAGTTCAGGACCTGTCTATGCGCTGCATCCTATCTTCCCTGGAACACCGTTACCCATCATGTCGAGCATGCCTGTCAACGCGCCGATTACGATAGTCTGAACTTTGGAAATGGAGATATGAAGCACGATTTACCAGATATTGCATTCCGCGATTGGATAGCAGCGGTATGGGACACGGAAGAAAAGTAGCGTGGAAGCATGTGGAGGGCAAAGCACTTGATTGAAAGATACCCAAATGAAATCGCTGAGTTGACAGCGAAAAGCAATAAGATCTAATACTCTCATCACCCACCAACACCCCATCTTACCATTGACCCATCTACTGCGTCTTCTTCTCATCCTTGACATCCCCCTTCCCAATGTTCCTAAACAACATCCAGCATAGCCCCACAAACGCGAACAAAACCACACCAACCGTCCCTCCCTCAACCCACCCAGCCATCCTCGTATCAAGCACTGGCACATTGATCCACTCCACCAACTCACCAGAGTCGGTCTGATTCCAAGCCTTAGGCTCCACATGCATAAACCTAGTCTTGGGTCCAAACAAGCCCTCATATCCCAAATGCAAGCGATCAAACGGATTGGTAGTATGCTGTGCGCCCGAATCCGCACGACAAGCCCAAAAGACAACAGGCCAAGGAACAGGCAACCTGGCATGAGACGCCGCCTGCGCAGGCATATACCGCAGATGCAACGGTATGCTGACATTCCAGTCCCCATCCGGCACCTCACGATGCGTCGGCAAGTCCTCCCACACGCTCTCCTCCCCATCCCCCAGACTGACCTTAGGATATTCAATCTTCTCTGGCGTGGGTGTAGCGAGTTCAAAGAGCGCTGCTGAGCCCCAAGCCGGCACAACCCAGTCTGGGGCTTCGAGATCGGTAGCACCGGCTAGACTGCGGAGGCGCTTTAGGTTCTTGTCTGCGAGGAACAGGGCGTCGGAGAATTGGTACTTGTCGATGAAGAGGTAGGAGGGGAGGGTTAGGTGGGTGTGTAGTTTGCAGGAGCGGTCTGGTGGGGTGAGGTGGTGTGCTGGGAAGGTTAGGGTGAGGGTTGGGTGGAGGCCGGTTGGTTGGTTGAAGGAGGTGCTGTAGGTTAGAGGATGGAGTTTGGGTGGGGCGGTTGGGTTCTTGGAGGCTTGGAGGAGAGGGTAGTGTCGGGTTGGGGTTTGGAAGCGCGTGGGCTCTGTGTGGTATTAGTATTTGGACATTCTATCGTGCTAGGAATGGTATGATAGGAGGAGTATACGTACTCGGTTTATCGTCTTGTCCTAGCACTGTCAAGAAACCTCCAAACTGCACATCTTCGGGATCGGCGTTTCCCTCCAGGCTCAAAACTCCAATTTCCACTGTCGCTTCTTTACTCGGTAGCCTTATTGTCTCAGTCCAGCCTTCGTTGGTGGATCCTGCATTGGAAGATTCGGCTGTCAGAACAACGCTTCTCGAGATAGTATCGTAGTCCACATCGATATAATCTGATCGAGCAAAGCCATCGATCGTATCCAAACAATAGCTTTTTCCATCTTTGCTGCAAAACTTCTGCTGAAAGAAACTCCTAACTCTATCGATGTCATCCAGGTAGCTGTAGTACTGCGAGGTGGCCGACATTGAGAAGCGCTCTGAGAGGACTGGCATCTTTGTGGAGCTGGATGATGTCGACGAACACTTCAGGTCCGGGGATATGAGGGAGTGGAGGCTTGAGCATAGTGCGTCGTCAGGCGTATCGGATAGAGGCGTGAAGAAGACGTGCAGACCAGGTGATACACGTGATGTGAACGGCGGAGTAGATGCGTAAGACCTTGGAGATGTCCAACGTAGATGTAACTCGTGCCATTGTTGAAAGACTTTACTTATCTACGTTCCGTTAGGATGAGTTCGCTCTTTTGGCGGACTTAAGAGTGGCAGCAGTACATACTTCTTCAGGTAGCTCATTCAGGCCGAGAGTGATACGGTGTTCCTTCGCAGCATGGACATTATCCAAAGCAAAGTATGGACCATATTTGTCTTCGCCGACATCAAGTTGGTCGGGAGTAAACTCCTCTGGGTTCGTCACCACATAAGTTATTCGCTGTTTCATGATTGTTGTGATGGAGGTTTCGTTCGAGGTCTGTCCACGCGTGATGCTCGCGATGGCATGTGAGTAAAGCGAGCTAGTGCGGAAGCGGCTCTAGCGTATGTACATCCCTGGACAGGCCTCGGCGGTGCGTCATCGGCATTCACTGGCGCCGCCAGCTTCTAGATTCACAGCCCCAAAGCACAAGGCATCTCCACCGTGTCCTTTCACATGCTTTTGCCACACGGGTGGTACATGAGTTGTCTTAACCATCCCTATTGAGCACACTTCTAATCCACGACCTTGCGACAATATGCATCTCCTCAGCTTCCTCTACCCTGCGCTGCTGGCAGCGAGTGGCGCAGAAGCCCTCCGCTCAGACAAGATCAAGCTGGCTAAGATTGAAAGCCTCACGCTGCGCAAAGGACAGCAGACCTCCGCGCGACGCGTTGACCCTATCCCCCAGGTACGCATTCATCCTACGCGTCTCCGCCTACCCTTCCGTACAGCCTACTCACACATGATAGCTGAAATGCATCGGCGGTTCCGCCCGCGGCCTCTACGAACCCGAGATAATGCGCTGCAAGAACAGTGGCTCTGACTACGACGAAGACTCCATACAGTGGACCTGCACCGCCTCGCTCCCCGAAGAATTCAAGCTCGGCTCCACAGACGTCATCTGCGAAGGCTACGATTACCCCGAAGACCCATACATCCTGAAAGGAAGCTGCGGAGTAGAGTACCGTCTTGTCCTCACGGAGAAAGGCCAAGAGAAGTACGGCAAGGGAAGAGGAAGATGGCAGGGCGACGACGACGATGACGACCGACGTGACGGACCGAAAACCATGGGTGAGAGGATTGCAGGCGGACTTTTCTGGATGCTCTTCGGTGGTGTCGTGTTGTGGATGATATACTCTGCGCTGAGGAACCGCGCACAAGGTCCGGATGGCGGCGCAGCAGGAGGCAACAGACCTGGCTGGGGAGGTGGCGGCGGCGGCGGTGGATGGGGAGGAGGCTACAACGACGACAACGACGACCCGCCTCCACCATACTACCCGAACAATCCCAGCAACCCCAAGTCAGGCTACGGCGCGACACAACCGGCACAAGGCTGGAGGCCTGGATTCTGGTCTGGCGCGGCAGGTGGCGCTGCTGCTGGATGGGCTGCGGGCCAGTTTGGCAACAGAGGCAACCGGAACAACCAGACGGGCGGCTGGGGCGCTGGAAACGGCAGTGGCAGTCGCTGGAACAACGGCGGAGAGGGTAGCTCAAGGAGTTCGTCTGGTGATAGCTTCTCCAGCACCAGGCATGAGAGCACTGGGTTCGGAGGAACGTCGCGCAGATGATGTGTTGTTGATACTTTCTCTATTGGCCTAAGAATGATACCCCCTTTTACGCGTTATGGACATGATTCTATATGACTCGGATGCTTCTGGACATTGGTGTACACATATGAATAAGATATGCAGTAGGAACAATGAACAAAACTCAAGATCCAAGGTGTGCCGTGCCCTCCATGTCGCGATTCCGCAACGACCACACCTCTGATTGCACCTTGGAGACTTTAGTGGCGCTCTCCAAGACCAAAGAATCGACACCAGTTCTTCAATCAGGTCCCTCCCACCTGACCCAAGGAAAACGGAACACCTACCCCTAGGTAAAGTGAATGACCCAGAAGTCTACATCGCCTTGAGATCTTGCAAACTTTCGGTTTGATACTGATGTAGACAGCAGAGCACCTGTTCAGAGTTTTCTTTGTATGAGGTGCTCCCACTCTCACACGTTCCCTCCCTCCCCAGCCCTCCAAGGAATATCCCCCTTCCCCACCTTTACACAAGTCAGCCACCCCACCTTCTGCCCCTCCACATCAAGCAAAGACTCGTTCTTTGCAAGATCCTCCACGTACGCACTCGCTTCCCTCTTCAAGATCGCCAGATCCTCACTTAGACTGGCAACTGCGGAGGGCATGACCTGTTCGAGCATGCGTCGCATATCCTCGTACGGCATATAACCCTCCCCCTTCCAGATCTTCCGATAGATTGTGCCGCGGCGGAGAGAGCCTTTGGGTTCGTCGTGAAGATTAGTGAATTCTTGAGCGAGGATGGACCGGAATGTCGAGACGATGAACCAAGTGTCGAATTCAGAGTTGACAAGAAGAGACACTGGGTGACTGCTCGCGCCGCGGCCGACGTGAATGGTGAGTAATAGCAGATCGCGCTCTATTTCTGTGCAGCGTTTGTTTAGCTCGAGGCTCTTGGCTGTGATGAGGCAGATAATTTCTTCTGGGAGAGAGGAGCGCGGCGTCGGCCATGGCCAGCTAGGGTGTGCGCCAGACATGTGTATTAGTGCTTCTGTGTAGATTGACTCGTTATGCAGAGAGAGCGAGAGGAGGAGCCAGCGTGCGGGATCGTTTTTGATTGCACGCAAAAGCGCATGTCGATGTTGTAGAAGTGTGGCATTGATCTGTGATCTTAGGTTGGGGAGATTGTCCAAGCAGCCCAGGTCTCCGGCGAGCTTGGTAAGTTGTTCGGAGTGAGTGAGAGAGGCGGCGATGTTTGTAGTCGGAATGTTTATGGGGACGTTATAGAATGTGCTGAAGAGATCGTTGTAGATTTCGATTATGGAAGTGTGGTCTGGAGTGATAGAGAAGGGACTGCCTGGGTTGGAATCCTCGTGCTCCGTCTTGATTGCCACGTCGACATCATGATGACTCCCGGCATTCGAAATGACTGGCTTTTCTTCGGTGGTTTGCTGTTGTACCAATGCAGCCTTACCATCGACCTCTTCAATAGTGTATGAGGCCAACGCCGGCCCTATCGTGGGCACCATAATGCTTGAAAGTGACTTTGAAAACCATGAGGAAAACCGTGTGAGAATACTGCTGTGGAGTTGCCATTGTTTCGGCGGAATGACCAGTTCCGTCTTGATGAAGATATCGCCTGTTGTGAAGATGGGAAATGATTCTGCGGTAGGTTCTAGTATACTGGGTGTATGCGCCACTGTACCATCATGGGATGGTTCACGAAGTGTTTCTGGGGTTGGAGGACCTAGCGTGACCATACCGGCATAAGTGGAGACTTCTGGGGAAGTTCTAATCGGATTGATCTTTGAAGGAGAAATATGTGCCGTGTTTGTTGCTGAATGATGGCCAGGTGAGGGTTGGCTTTTAGCATCGCCAGTTTGCTGCGAGGAAGAGACTGAAACCGCAGAAGACAAATCTGACGAGTCTGCATCTAAACCCGATGGTGGAGTGAGAGGATTTGAGTTCTCGATAGTCTTTTCTGATGTTGTGTCTTGCGAGCTTGTGGAGTTTGTTGTCGAAACTGTCGAAGCATGTCGCTTACGTGCCTGCGCCGGCGATTGCGAACGGTTGCGCTTGTCCATCATGATGTTGTGGGAAGCTGAAATGTAGAAGTTCTTGTTGAATCTACCGTTGTTCGAGGTTCTGATTGATAGAGGTAAGACTAGAGACTAGTTACGTATATACGGTTGTAGAAACCGCTGGGTGAAGGCGTCGAACTGATGGTCATGACAGCAATGAGTCTGTCAGTAGAACGCTACACCCCAGTGTAACGCTTTTGGCCAGCTCTAATAGCAGTCTGAGATGGCGGTCGGTAGGCGAAAGCGTAGATGTTGTCGTGATCATGAGTAGGCTGATCATCACAAGGTGAGAGACGATCCATGTTCCCATAGGTTGTACGCGAACAGCTTTTGAGAAAAGATGTTCCTGCTCCATGAAGTTCCAATTCTCTAGTGCATTGGAAGTACCTTTTAAGCCACTTGTGAGGCTGCGAGACGTTGTAGCACACATCGTGCCAAGGTACTCGCCACAAGTGCGCAGCTTGGTGATCCCGGACACCTTCCGCATACTTGGACGATGATCGTCGCGCTCATAAGAAACATACACCCAAACACTCGGTGTTCATCTCGGTCGTGTTATTCGTCTGACATACTTGATATTTTGGAACAGTCTGCCAGACTGGTAGGTCAGCATCCGAGGGTCCTCATCGCCACATAGGAACCACTGTAACAAGTATGCGCGGACAAACCTTTTCTAACCAACTTTCATGCCAGATAAACCAGTGATCTCTTGAAATAGTGTCAACGACTGTTGTTTGAACATCGGCGGGACAATCCGGTGTAGGGTCAAAAGTACCATGACTTTGGAAAAGTGGGGCTTGCTAGATGCGAAAAACTGGCGTGGATGTGTGTCCTAGGCGAAGACATCAGTGTAGTAGCATCCTGCGACGTGAGATAAGCCTTGTTTGCGTATCGCGAGTGTTTCCAGGGTCGTGATAAACGGATTAGTAGCTCTCAAACGAGGGGCTGAATGTGACGTCACTGTATCGCTCATTCTAGAATTACCTGCCGTTGCCGCGGAAGTGACACGAATCTCACGGCAGGAGCAACCTGATGAATTTGTGATCACAGAAGCCTGGTCTTACCCCGGCTGTTAGCACTCTGATGCAAAACTCGTACGATTCCTTTTCAACACACCACAAGTGTCCACTGCTAGCCTAGTGGAGGCTAGCTCGGTCCTCTCGGAGTTATGTCCGCGCCCATGGGGTCGCTGCCAACATCGCTGTCGCAACTCGTGCTTGATGATCTCCCGACGCCGGCCTCAGGAGCGGACGACGATTACGATCCCAACAGCCTTGCATACGACCTGATCAGGTTCACACCTGCGCCGACTGTGATCTTAGACGCGTTGCTCTATGTGCGCCATGTCTCAGATTCGTTAGTACAGCCTGTGAATAGGATCGTCTAATTCCTGCTATTTGCTGACATCTATCAGTTATGTGACTACCTCAAACGCAAGGGATCGCGTTGATCTTGTAGGCCGACATGCCGATGACATTTTCGACATCTCCTCCACTATTCCTGCTTTTGCTCCAGCCCATGCGCTAGTAAGCGCTGCATGTCGAACTGGCAACCTCCAGCAATCGAGAGCTGTAACAGATACGGGTCTCGCCTGGCACCTGAGAGCAGTCCCAATTCTGCGCCACGGGATATTGCGCTGCATC